AGACTGCTCTTTACTTTTATAACTTCTTTTCTCTCCTTATTTGTCAATATCTGGTCAAGGACTAGGGGCCTCGTAAATGGGCGATGATGTAGGAGATAGGGAAGCAAAGTCCCTATCGTTTTCCTCTTCTCCTCTCCTCCTACCCCTGCCAGCCAGTATCAGCCTTTGGTTCTCAGGGTTAGAACTGTGGTTCTTATCTGAGGTGGGAAGACCTCAGGTACCAGGGAGGATCCCCACAAAATCCTGTACTCAGGTTGGTTGGATTCTGTAGAGTCTGAAGGTGGTGCCTCCCCATCTCTGTATTTTGCTTAGTCTGTTTTTCTGAAACTTGTCCCTGGTGTGACCTTCCCTGTGAGTATGCTGGGGACCAAGGCCCAAAGCCTTCATTCATCTCTTGCTGTCTTTGACACCCATCCTGCCAGCCTCAGCTTCTTTCCTGGGGTTTCTCCAGATTTGAGCTCTGAGGAGGGGCTGGCTCACCAGCAACAAGCTTTCCCACCACACTGCCAGCCACTTGGCCCTTACCCAAGATCCAGCCAGGGAGAGATCTCAGGGGGCAAGAAGAAGCAGCGAGGGTGTGTGTGTGGAGGAGCCCTGCCTCTGAGTCTGTGTGTTTGTGAGCTGTTTGTTAAGTGCTCACTGATACCCAGGCAGAGTGCTAACAGCTTAACTCACATTATCTCATTTAATGGGTGTGACAGTGTGTAAGAGGGTGAGAGAAACAGGGTGACAAGGGGAAGTAGTCACTGGTTGTAGCTGGGAGCCCTCGGCAATGAATTCCCTTGCTCCATGGTAACAGTGCTGTGTTTATGGGTCTGAACAGAGCCTCAAGATGGGGAGCAGACTCATGAGCTCTCTCTAATGTGGGCCCTGGCAGGAGGAAGGAATGAGCTATGCAGGTTCCAGGCCCACCTCCCCTCCTTGCCCAAAGCCAGGTTTTTCCTTTCTATAAGGAGTACTTTTATATTGTCCAGCATTTGAGGGTCATTAGTAGAGGTAAGGCTAGCTGAGAATGGAAATACCTATTCATTCAACCTGGTCCTCACTCTGTAAAACTCAGATAGAAGGAATAAGATCTTCCATGGCTCAAGCCCCAGAGACACAGGGGTCCTCTCTCCTTGGAATGCCTGCGGTCTCACTAGTTCTTAAGTGACCTTCCATCTATGTACTTGTGAGCTTCTTTGGCAATCCACTCTCAGGATACAGTCACCTATCAGATCAGACGAGGGCTCACTCTTAGAGCTTCATTTCAACTTAACCACAATCCATCTAAATGTAGCCACATTCTGAAGTTCTCGAGGGTTAGGGCTCCGGCATGTGAGACGTCAGGGGATGTGCCACCTCTGTCACTCCTTTCCTCCTTGGGTCATTGCTGTGGTCCTGGCTCTCACTGCCAGCAGCACTACTGTAAAGACCAGCTGTCCACAACCTAAAACTCACCCAGAATCTCCTCCCTCCAAGAAGCCTTCCTCTGGTCTCACATGGCCAGCAGACACAGACCTGTAATGGTGGCACATGCCACACAAACAGCTGTCACTTGTCATGCCTGTTATGACCTGTACAGCACCCCCTTTGCTCCCTAATTGTCATCCTTCCTCCCTGTGAAGAAGTGATCCTCCTTCCCCTTTTGCCCCCATGGTTCTGAGGCCGCATTCAGTTGTAGCTCCTGCTTCTTAGCACAAGGATGAGCATGTGACTTGAGTAGAGCCAATCAGAGTTCTCCCCTGAGACTGCCAAGCTGTGAGTCCTGGGTGAGAAGAGGCCTTCCCTTCCTCTGGGATGCAGAATGATGTAATCCTAGCACTTTGCATGGCTTAGCATCTATCTGCTGGACACGGAAGATCTTGGGTAAGCCTCTCTGTGCTTCAGTTTTCGCTGCTGTACCACATATGATGCTAACAGGATAGGATCCTTATGAGACTTCCTGTTAATACACCAGCTGAGGACCACCCACTTTGCCTAAAGTTAAGATATGTGTATGTGTAAGAAACATGGTTAAATGCTTCAAAATGCTATGCAGTAAACTACACAGTAAAGAGTCCTGGTGTTAATCACGGCTCCTTTCAACTCCGGTCTCATCACTTATACTCTACTTATTTGTTTACTTGCCCAGCTGTTTGTAGAGATGCTGTCTTACTAGATAGCCTTCACTGTCCTGACTCACTTTGTAGACCGAGCTGCCTCCAGTCGGCAGAGTGCCCCCACCTCTGCCACATGAGTTCTGGGATCATAGTTATGTACCACCATGCTCAACCTGGCAATTTTTCAAAAATCTTTTCATGGGGGCCTGTGAGATGGATCGGCAGGGAAAGGAGGCTGCTTCTAACCCTGGGGACCAGAGATCCATCCCTGAGACCCATGTGCTTCAAAGATACAATGAGTTCCTGGAAGTCTTCCTCTGACCTCCTCACACACACTAAGTCAACCAATGAGTTAACTGAAACTTCTTGGAGCTCATTCTAAATGGTTCTATATGGAAATACAAACACTTTAATTCTTTCTTCTAAATCATACCCTATATAATCTGTGTCTTTTAAAATTTTTCATTTAATAACATATCCTGGTGTGCTTTCCATAAAGTTCTCTGTGGCTGGTTCTTTCTGCCCTATTCCATGTATGGTGAACGCCACAACTCCAATGCAATGGTAAGCCAGCTTTGTGTGTATTGTTCCACATGAGTGCAGTGGTCCCTGTAGATTTAAGTAGCTAAACCAATCAGGAAACACACACACACACACACACACACACACACACACACACACACTCCAGAGTGTATGGACAGATTTGTCTTCAGAGACATGAATCAAATGGCTGATGGTGAGGCACACTCAAAGATACTCACTATTAACTAACCAAATAAACCACCCTGCCATTTTGCATCATACTCACTGGGGTAGATGTGATTAAAAAAAAAAAAAAACAGACAAGCCTATCTGTCTTTGTCTGCTCATCTAGGGCTGCTTTGGGTGGCTTTGGGCACAGAATTTACTGCTGTGGAACTGGAGGCTGTGAAGCCCAAGGCCAAAGTGCTGACTGCTGTGGAGTCAGGCATGGGTTGTCTTCTTGGATTGCAGACGTCTTTACCTCACTCAGCATCCATGTGACAGACTCTTCATTGTGTGCCAGTGGAGAAGGGGAACTCAGGTTCCTTCCTTTTCCTTTCGTATTCCTTTCATTCACTTGTATGAAAATCCTTCAAGGGTGTGGAAAGGTACAGGGAAGTATTGCTGGCCTCTGTGGAGCCTGTTCACTTCATTTAAGAAAGCCATAACATTTTACCATGTTACATCACAATGCTCTCCTTTTGTAAGAAATAAAATAGTGAAGACACAGTCAAAGTCCAACCTTCCCTACGCCTCTTCTTAATCGCAAATCTGACATTGGATGTTTCTATACTTTTATTCCATGTATGACTATGGCCACACAATATATTGAAGTTTTTCCACTCAGATATTCTCCTACATACACACACAGAAGCCAGAGTTGGTAATGCTGGGTGTCCTCCTCTTTTGATCTCTATTTTACTTTCTGTGACAGAGTCTGTAAATAAAACTGGACTCCTAATTGTCTAGATTGACTGGGCAGTGAATTCCCAGAATGGTCCTGCCTAACATGCATCATCATGCCTGGCTTTTTTTTTTTAACATGGTTTCTGGGGATCAAACTCAGGCCTCATACTTGGGAGGCAAGCACTTAATACTGACTGAGCCATCTCCCTCACTCCACTCAAAATACATTCTAATATCCTTCTTGTTTCTATTATTAACTCATGTTATTTCTCTTTCAAGTGTTAAGGTAACATAGGTAGGGAAAGTTTCAAATAACTTTGTGCTATTTGTTTATAATTCTATTATTGTCAGAGAATATAACTTAGTCCATTTCAAACTTACTGCACCTGGTTTTATGGTCAAAATATTATCTGAATAACAATTTTATGTCCATTTCAAAGTGTATCTTCTATTGTTGTGGGAAGTCTTTTTATAAAGATCAAGTTAGGTCAAGCAGGTTGATAGTGTTCTTCAAGTTTATTACTATGCCGTAGCTCCTCCTAGTTGAAAATCTCCTCCTAGAGGGAAATTTATAAGATTCCAAAGTATATGAAACACACAAGACTCAGGAGCCTCCTGAAAATTACAGGATTCACAATGTCCTTGGGAGCTTCTGTGTAAAGATCTCTAGGAATGTGGCTTTCATGAGTCAATGGCCACATTAGGGGTAGGCTTTACAATGATGCATCTGCTTTTGTGCCACCTACATTCCTGTAAATGACCTTAGTCAACTTATCAGTTCACTAGGCTAGACTTGGGTGACATTTATTTGGTATGTCTTCGGTTAAACATGTGGTGAGAGTTGTTTGTTTAGGTCTCCCCACCAGGAAAAGCCACCCAATAATGATATACCCCTGCTGATTTTCTGCTTTTTCGTTCTGCTAGTCATTGTGAGATGGATATTGAAATATCTCCAACTATAATTGGAAATGTATTCATTTATCATTGTAGGTCTATCAGTTTTTCTTTAATGTATTTTAATGCTCTACTACTAGGAATATAAATATTTGAGATTATTATCTCTTCTAGATGAGTTGGTCCCTTTATCATTATGAAACACCTCTGCATCTGATAATATTGCTTACTTGAAATCTATTTTGTCTTATATTAATGTAGCCATTTCAGTTTGGGGCTGATTATTTTAAGAGTGATATGGATTTTTGCTTTACATTTAATCAATTTATATTATTATTTTGTATGCAAAACACTCGGGACTTTTTAGCTGTGGTGTTTAGACCATTTACGTCTAATGCAGTCATTGATATGAATGAGTTTCAAATCTGTCTTCTTGCTCTTTGTTTTCTATTTATCCTGCATGGTGGCTCCTTTTTCTCTTTTTCTATCTTCCTTGACTTGAATAGTTTTATATTTTATCTCTTTCATTGGCTTAAGTGGTTTTTGAGATAGTAATATACATTTTTTTTATTTATCCAGGAGCACTTTCAAGTACCTGCCAGGGTGGGAGAAGACTTGCTTGGTAAAGTGCTTGCCATGAAAGCGTGGAGACTGGAATTTGGATTCCCAGCACACCATGAAAATCTGAGTGTAGCAGTACACATCTGGAATCCCAGCACTGGGGAGGAAGAGACAGGAGGATTTCTGAGGCTTACTAGTGAGTTCCTGGTTCAGGGAGGGACCCTGTCTTAAAAATAAGGCAGAAAGTAATTGAGGAATGTAATCAATGTTGACCTCTGACTTACAGCCACACTGACACACATGTACATAAACACACACACACATACACACACACACACACAGAGAGAGAGAGAGAGAGAGAGAGAGAGAGAGAGAGAGAGAGAGAGAGAGAATCACCTAAAGGGGAATTTCCATTAACTTTTTTGTCAGCCTTTATGTTCGTATTTTACATTCTATATATTATAAAACAAAAATATGTTTCACTTTATCCATGTGGACATGCATATATGTACACACTCATGGGGAGGTCCAAAGTGCATGTCGGGTGTCTTCCTTAGTTGTTTCCTGCCTTCTATATTGAGCCAGACTCTCTTGCTGGTCCTGGAGATGGGAGCTCTGGCTAGTCTGCTTGCTCAAGGACTTCTCATCTCTGCCCCCATGTTCTGGGATTACGGGTGAGTGGTCCATCACCCCTGCCTGGCTTTTAAGTGAGTTTGAGGAACTGAGGTTCAGTCTTCAAGCTTGCACAGCCAGTGTTTCATCCACTAAGCCATCTTCTTGCCCCCACAACATGTTTAATTACAGAAAATGGAGTGTCTGGTACTTTCCCCCATAGTTGTCTTCTTGGAGGCCTTCAGTCCTTCCTGCAGACCCTGGGCTCCATTGGGGGATTCTCTTTCCTTCTGCCTCAAGGACTCCAACTTTCTTGTAGACTGTGTCCATTTGTGGTCAGCTCTTTCGGCATTTTTTATATCTTCCAAAGGTCTGTATTTCACTTCTGCTTTCACATATATTTTCCCATGTATAGAATTGTTGATTGACAGGTCTCTGCTCTGCCTTTGTTCTCACTTTGTGCTATAAAGATGCTCCACTCTCTTCTTCCCCAAGCATGTCCAACAAGGAGTCTGCGGTCACTCTGCTCTTTTGTACGGATGATCCTCTTTTCCGCCACACCTTTTAGACTTCCTCTTTATTACTGGCTTTGAACAATTGTATCATTGTGTGCCTTAGTGAAGCTCTATGCTTGATTGTGCTTGCTGGCCACTGAAATATTGGAACGCATGGTTGTTTTTCCAAATTTGGGAAGGCTTTTTGTTGTTATTCCTTCAAATATCTTTATACTTCCTCTTTAAAAAAAGAAAGAAAGAAAACCTAATTGTTTATTTACTTGTGTATGTGTGAGTGTTTTACTTGCCTGTATGTCTGTGCACCACATGCCTGCAGTGTTCTAAGAGGCCAGAGGAGGGCGCCAGAGCTCCTGAGACTGGAGTTACAGTTGTGAACAGTCGTGTGGATGCTGGGACTTGAACCAGGGTCCTCTTGTAGAGCAGCCAGTGCTCTTAACCATTTAGCCATCTCATCAGCTCCCCTGTCCTATCCTGTCCTGTCCTCTGTCCTGCCATCCACCCCTATTCTTAGGAATTCTAACTACACATACATTAGCTGCTGGACTGTCCTACAGCTCATTAATACTTTTTTAAAAGTATTTTTTTTTATCCTTGTCTTTTATTTTGGATAGCTTTCATTGCTATAACTTTTTTGTCTGTCTTTCTATCTGTTTGGTTTTTGAGACAGGGTTTCCCTGACAGTAGCCCTTACTGTCCTGGAACTTGCTCTGTAGACCAGGCTGGCCGCAAACTCAGAGATCTCAAATTCAGAGATCTGCCTGCCTCTGCCTCTGCCTCTGCCTCTGCCTCTGCCTCTGCCTCTGCC